GGCGCAAAGACGGCGGACTCCTTCGCTGAGAAGCTGCGGGGAATATTTGCAGCCACAGATGGTGTTAGGGTCGCCAGGCCTACCAAGTGCGCGGAACTGCGCATCTCGGGCCTGGACGACTCAGTGACGGCCGAAGATGTCCGCGCTGTAATCCGGGAGAAGACGGGGTGCAGCGCGGACAACGTCAGGGTCGGCACCATCCGCCCCGGTCCAGGAGGGCTTGGCGCCGTGTGGGTCAGCTGTCCCGTAGCGTCGGCCAAAGTATTGGCCGACGCCGGCAGGCTGCTCATCGGTTTCGTGAGCGCCAGGATCACAGTCCTGGCGGCGAGACCGATGAGGTGTTTTAAATGCCTGGCTGCGGGACACACGCGCGTCAAGTGCGACAGTTGTTTTGACTGCGGCGGACTGTGTTTCCGCTGCGGTCAACCGGGGCATAAGGCGGCAGAATGCTCTGCCGCCCCTCACTGCCCAGCGTGTGCGGCGGGGAATAAGCCCGCCAATCACCAGATGGGGCAGAGAGGCTGCAAGCCTCCCCGCAGTTCTCGGCAGACGTCAGGGGCTAGCCAGTCGACCCAGGCTGCCTCTGATATAGTACGTGCGTCGTCGTCGTCGCCCATGGAGGAGGTTGTAGAGACGATCCAGTAATGGATCAAGTCTCCAACCTCCTGGTCCAGACGAACCTGAACCACTGTGCCGCGGCGCAGGATCTCTTCCTGCAAACCATGGCACAGTGGTCGATAGGTGTTGCCGTAGTCGCGGAGCCCTATTCTGTCCCTCCCCGTCCAAACTGGATGGGTGACTGGGACGGCTCCGTGGCAGTCGTCGGTTCCACGACGGCTCATTCCCCGCCCTTGTCGCTAAGAGACAAGGGCCCTGGATATGTTGCCGTCGAGTGGGGGGGGATCACCATATATGGTGTCTATTTCTCCCCCAACCGGAGTTTGAACGACTTCGAGGTTTTCCTAACCAGCTTGGAGACCTCGATACGGCGACTAGCGTCTGGGCACGTCCTTGTGCTGGGGGACTTCAACGCAAAGTCCATTGCGTGGGGTTCCCCCAGGACGGACGCCAGGGGCGAGGCCGTAGAGGAGTGGGCGGCCTCGGTGGGCCTCTGTCTTCTAAACAGAGGCTCCACCAACACGTGCGTGCGACAGCAGGGGGGGTCGATAGTGGACCTTTCGTTCGCTACCCCTGCCCTCGCCGCACGAGTAAGGAACTGGTGTGTCCTGGAAGAGGTTGAGACGCTCTCGGATCACCTGTATATCCGATTTGAGCTCTCCCGGACCCAGGACTCCAGTAGGGGTCACGTGGCGCGGCGTTTATCCCGCTTTCCGCGGTGGGCTGTTGCCAGGCTGAACCGGGACCTACTAGAGGAGGCAGCCATAATTCACTCGTGGCTGTCTCCTCAGGCTCCGACCGAGGAGGTCGACGTGGGGGCTGGCCGCTTTCGCGATGCGATTACGCATGTATGCGATGCGGCCATGCCCCGCGTTCGAGGTCGTCGGCCTCCAAGGAAGGAGGTCTACTGGTGGTCCCAGGAGCTGGCGGACCTCCGTGCGGCCTGTACACGTGCCCGGAGGTCCTACACGCGCAGTCGGCGGCGTCACCGTGGAGACGGTGAGGAGGACCGGCTTCATGAGGAGTACCGACGGGCGCGGAAAACTCTGAAGCTGGCCATTAGCCGCGCCAAAGAAGAAAAAAGACAGGAGATGCTGGAGGGTCTTAATCGTGACCCCTGGGGTCGCCCTTACCGCGCGGTGCGACAAAAGCTCCGCGCGTCGGGCCCCCCCCTTACGGAGACTCTCCAGCCCAGCTTCCTGCGAGAAGTGGTTGAGGGCCTTTTCCCGCAACGAGCGGAACACACTCCCCCGGCGATGGCCTCCTTGGCCGGAGACGACGGGGAGCACGGGGAGGAAAATGTTCCGCCCGTCCGGGATTCGGAGGTAGGGGCGGCTGTTCTACGGATCCGTTCCAAGAACACCGCCCCTGGGCCAGACGGGGTACCGGCCCGAGTGCTGGCCCTGGCCCTCAACCACTTGGCAGACCGCCTCGGGGAGGTGTTCGACGCTAGCTTGGCGTCGGGACGCTTCCCTGAGTGCTGGAAGAGCGGGAAGCTGGTCCTATTGAGGAAGCCGGGACGGCCTGCCGATTCGGTCGCGGCCTATAGGCCCATCGTGCTGCTGGACGAGGCGGGCAAATTGTTTGAGAGGGTTCTTTCTGCCCGCATCGTCCGGCACCTCTGCGAGGTGGGCCCCGATCTGTCGGACGCCCAATTTGGTTTTCGGGCGGGGCGTTCGACAGTCGACGCTGTGTTGCGCCTGAGGGCCGTGACCGAAGAGGCCGTGAGCTGTGGCGGCGTGCTGTTGGCGGTGTCATTGGACATCGCCAACGCATTCAATAGTCTGCCATTCAGCTGCATCAGGGAAGCACTCCACTATCATGGGGTGCCAAAGTACCTGAGGCGGCTGGTGGCAGACTATTTAGAGGAGCGTACCGTCGTGTACGAGGACCGAGAAGGTAATTTGAGGAGTCGGCCCATGTCGTGCGGTGTTCCACAGGGGTCTGTTCTTGGACCCCTCTTGTGGAACATAGGGTACGACTGGGCCCTTCGCGCCGATTTCCCCCCCGGGCTGGGTGTAATCTGTTACGCAGACGATACCCTCGTGACAGCCCGGGGGGCAAACTTCCAAGAGGCGGCGCGCCTGGCCACAGGGGGAGTCTCCCTGGTGGTCGGGCGCATTGAGGCGCTGGGCTTACGGGTGGCCCTAGATAAGACGGAGGCCCTGTTATTCCATGGGCCCCGTCGTGGTCCACCCCCTGGCGCCTCCATTGTGGTCAACTCGGTCCTCGTACCGGTTCGGGCCCAGATGAAATATCTGGGCCTGATCCTCGACGGGAGGTGGCTCTTCGACGAGCACTTCCGACAGCTTGCTCCAAAGCTGGTCGGCGCTGCGTCTGCCCTAGGGCGACTCTTGCCCAATATGGGTGGACCCAGCGTCGCGACAAGACGGCTGTACACGGGGGTTGTCCGGTCAATGGCACTGTACGGTGCACCGGTGTGGGCGGCGGCTCTGACCGCCCAGAATAGGGTACGCCTCTGGCGCCCTCAGAGGGTAATGGCGGTCAGAGCCATACGCGGTTACCGCACCGTTTCGACGGAGGTGGCATGCGCATTGGCCGGAACTCCCCCGTGGGATTTGGAGGCGGAAGTGCTCGCCGAAGTTTATCGGCGAGTGGCTGACTTCCGGGCGGAAGGCGGATTTCGCCCTCCGCCCGAGGATGTGCGCGAGTGGCACGAAGCCGCTCGCCGAGCCACGATGGCTCGTTGGTCGTTCCGGCTGGAGACTCCACGCGCTGGCTTCGCCGCCGTGGAGGCTCTCCAGCCGGTCATCGCCGAGTGGGCAGGGCGGCAGCACGGGACCCTTTCCTTCCGACTGACGCAGGTGCTTTCCGGGCACGGTTGCTTCGGAAAGTACCTGCACACGGTCGCTAGGAGGGAACTGAGTCCCGCCTGCCACCACTGCGACTGCAGTGAGGACTCGGCCCAGCACACGCTGGCGGTCTGCCCCGCATGGGCGGCGCAGCGCCGGGCCCTCACTGCAGTCATCGGAGTGGATCTCTCGCTACCGGCCGTAGTACGCTCCATGGCCGGTAGCGACAGTTGTTTTACCGCGGTCGCAACCTTCTGCGAGGTAGTAATCTCGCGGAAGGAGGCGGCGGAGAGGGCCCGGGAGGACGACCTCCACTCGGACCCGATCCGCCGCCGGCGAACCGGGCGGCGGAGGCCCGGCTATCACAGCCTCATGCCGCCCTGAGTGTGGCCGCGGGTGGACGGGGTGGGTTTCCCCTCCACCCGCATTAGTTGGCCAGCCGCGAGGGGGCGGCGTCCGCGTGTGCCGGACGTCGCCTAGAGAGAGGGAAAATATATCGAGACGGAGCCCGCACCAGGAGCGGGCTGGCGCTAGGAGGGGTCCGGATGTCTTAACAACAGCTGTTCCCGGATCCCTCCTGTTACAGGCGCAGAGTGGCACACCGTGTGGTTTTAGTCGGTCCGAGTCCGACACACCACCCCGCCGCAAACCCCGGAGGGGTGACGGTCCGAGGGGATTTCCACACGTTTAAAAAAAAAAAAAAAAAAAAGGGTTCGCTTCAAGTTTTCCTTCTCTTTGCAGTGCTGTTATTCTGTGTAGTTTGCTCACTTAGTTGGCTCTTTTGACACGCACGGGATGAATAGAGGTATTTTTATTTGCTGAAACCTTAAAATTGTTTATCTTTTCAGATGGATGGACCTTTTCAGATTCTCATTGTAGCTACTATGTTAACCTTTACAAAAGCTAACTCACGGATGTTGTAATCAAGTTGTATTTTAATTCGTGATACATATTACGAAAAGGAACTTTTAAATAACAATGTTTACCTTCCGTACCAATTGTCTATAGACTACAGTATTAACACGCTTTTTTTTACTTACACTGGAAGAAGCACAACCTCAGAATACTTACTTTCATTATCATATAAAGTAGCGTTCTTAGACTTAGAGACAAAATATTTAGGTCATGTAAATGACGTCAATGGAGGATTTGCAACGGCCGTTGATAATATAAATGGATCTGTGTATATAGGAGGGGCAAATGGAATATACCTACTTAGTAAAGAATGGGTTACGGCAAGAAATTTAGATGTAATAGATTTAAATATATTTCAAATGTTTTACAGAGATGGTTTGTACTTTACTATCTTTCCAGAAGAAGAAGTATTTTTATATCAAGATAAAAAAGTATGGGAGATACCAGAATTTTATGTTAAAGATAAAGTGAAAATGTTTGCAGTTAAAAAAGATGGTGTTTTTGTATTTTCGAATAGTTCTGGATTATATTCTTATAATGAAACTACGAGAGCTGTTTTAAAATGTGGTAATTATACAGTAACTGGATTTACATCCGACGCAAGCAATAATCTATATTTTTTGGGCGATCTTTTCGGATTGGCTATTGCAAAAAATGGAGATTTCATTTATGCGCTCAAAGATAGCATTTATAGACTTAAACCTAACAAAGACAAATGCGGTTAAATATTAAAAACATTATTAAAAAATTTAAGTACTTTTTATTGATCAATATTCAAATTCTCTACGGATTGTTTTACTTATCTTTGTTGCCTTATAGATTTTTGGATTTACTTATTTTATGAAGCAGGTATATGAATTTTTGACTAGATTGATTATCACATGATATATGATTTTATCCTTTATTAAAATAACGTTTAAAAATATTATTGATTCTCGTTTTTTTTAATAAACTTTTTCTAATCTTACGAGGCCACCTACTAAGACTTTACTTTGAATATACATATGATGGCAGAATTAAAATAAAATAATAATTTGTGAAGGTACTCGAATATCAAAATTACTTGCATAATTTCTATAGTAAATATATTTATATAAAATGATTTTCCTTTAAAATAATTGTTTCCCCCGTTTTTGACATTTAAAATGCTTTGTGTAACAGTATCATTCAATTATTATATTTCTAAGAGTTCTTCCGACTTTTCAAATCCCTTATCTGTAAAGTTTTCAATGAACCTTTATACGATCTTCGACTTAAACCCACAATGGTAGTAGCGGAACATGCCAATCTTCCTGTTTTCAAGAAGTTTCCTATCATCGAAGTATTTTTTTTCTTGAGTGAGTGAGAGCAAACGAGTAGACTACTACCGCCATTGGGCACCTGCTACGCAGAAGACGTTCGTACCTCCCCCTTTAGAAATGCGACATCACGTCCCTGGAGGAGGCCAACATGTGTATAAGCATAGCTCGGTCATGATTATGTATTACAACCGGCCTGTATTTCCTCCATATATGGATGGTATAGTCAGTTTTTACAGGGAAATTTTTACCGTTGCAAATCAATATTTTATGTTATTTCTAAGAAAGCGAAATTAGACAGTCGGTGAAGTCAGGACTTTACTGTTGGTCACGTATTTATGTGGTTATTCATAAAGTCCAAAGAACTGTTGTCATAGATAGCTAGGTTTTAACCTTTTAATCACTATTATAAGTAATAAACTATAACACGTAAACAAATATATTATTAGTGTTACTTGAGTTGTGTTTAAAGTAAGTAGTGTCGATATCTACCTGTTAACTCACAACGTACGGTATGTGTTTGTATACGTATTTGTATTCTTTTATGAATAATTACTGATTACTTGTGTGAAAATTTATGATTTAATTTGAGTGAATGGTTTCTTAATGATTGAAATACTAAATTATCAAGATATAATAAAACTCAGATCTTACCTATTAAACTGCTAAATTGCTCTTACCATATATAAAGGCAAAAAGAGATAAGCCATAGACATCTATGTTTATGAATGTTGTTGTATATGAATATGTAATTCCTAATGATATTCTTTGTTTATAATTTAGAATCGAAATACGAATAAAAGTATTTGCATCAATATCATATTTTTTCCTGTCATGTACCGAAAGGCAATACAATAAAAGTAAAATTATTACGGTCAATTTCGAAACCCAAAACATTCAAAACTTAGTGAGTTCTGGAAATCGAGCAACAGGCGATGTCTAGCTATTTTAAATGATTGATCTAAAAAAATTATGAGATGGCTCGGACAGCAAACCAACAACATCTTGTTTAGATTTCTTCTGATGCTGCTCACGATTCCCAATCTACACTTAAACAATATTCCTATTACTCTAACGCCTTCTTTTCTTCCAACCTTTTCATATTGAAATATTTCTAGTTTCCCCATCTGTTATTCCCAAAATGACCGGTTGATTAAACGAAACTATTACATGTCATATTAGTTTTATTTCAAGTAATAGGAAAGTACCCTAAAATAATACAGCAAGTTTACAGACGAACCAATGTAGTCTCTACTCAACTTGTTGTATACTCGGTAATAATTTACTATCTCTTATTTAAAAACAATAATAGAGACATTTAATTAAAAACAATATAGAAAAAGAGCAGTAAGGTGAAATAGAAATCAGTTTCTGTAGGTTATCTTTTTAGATTTGCAAAAGGTCAAATAAACACCTTAAAAAATAATATGCAATGATAAGGATGTTGTACAATTTCATTTAATAAGTCTTACATACAAATATATTGACTAATGTGAGATCAGGAGCACTATTTTGATAATAGACAGTATTTTTATGAGCCATTATTATTTTTTACAATTTTGCAATTCCCCGGTCAATTTTGGACTGATTTTCAAGATTCATTTTATTAAAAGAAAGCGTAAACTCTCGAAATGGGTCCATTATCTACATATTAGGATCTGATCATGGGATTTCAGAAAAATGAGGCATACCTTCGAATTTTACGGGCACGTGCAACGTGTTTTATCTTTTTTTTCAAGCCATACACACGTATGGCTGAATACCAATTTGCGTTTAGTAGTTATTATCTTATGTTGCTGTGCTGATAATAGAAGGCTCCTTAACTGTGAATAGTTAAGGGATAATTCTTTCAGTAAAATAATAACGCATTGACGAATACGCGTAAATACGCGTATTCTTTAAGGCACTTATTAGGTAATTGTGTCTAAATTAGATTACAAAATATTTCCACCAAAATAAAATTTGTGGGTTTGTTCTGCAATTGTTTTTACAGAACTAATTTTCAGAAGTAATTTATTTCTAAATCAATTTGAAAAATGTATTGTTTGGTCCTTTTTCATATCAATATGAAGAATAAATTATAGAAAAATAGAAAATATAGTTTTTTACAATTCATAATAAGAAGTTAGTTGTCTATTTTTACGAAAAGAAATAATAACACTTTTTTTTCAGATGAAGTACTTTATTTTATCGATATTGATTACTTTTGCTGAAGCTGGTATAATTAATGTACAACCAAAATGTGTAACAATACGTAATATTGTACATGAAGAAGAAGTCTTAAAAGAAAAAGTTCATTATCCGTATCAATTGGCCCTTGATTATGATACAAACACACTGTTTTTCAGCTATACAGCAAGAACCACAGAAACATTTAAAATGGCATACCTAAATTTGAAATCAAATGACTACGGATTAGTAAGTGGTATACAGGGAGGTTTTGCAAGTGCTGTTGACATACAATCGCATATAGTCTACATGGGTGGTGAAGATGGTGTCTATCAATTTGAATATAACACAAAATCCGCTGCAAGGCTTAATATAAAATCCGATGTAAATATCTGGCAAATGTTTTATAAGGATGGATTATATTTTACTACATACCCGGAAGAGAAAGCATATCTATACAAAAACCAAGAAATAATGCAGGTTTCTGATTTGAAAGACAAGGTTATGGTTTTAGGTGTAAAGAAAGACGGAAGTTACGTATATTCTAACTCCTCTGGACTATTTATTTATAACAAAGCAAGTGGTAAAGCTTTGAATATAGGTGACTATGTAGTTAATGGAATTACATCTGATATTGATGGGAATATATACTTTTCAACACCTTCTGGAATTTATTATATTGATGATGAACGGAATAAAATAGAGGAACTAATGAAACAAGAAGAAATTTACGGTGTCGCTATAGATGGGAACGGCAGCATTATATATGCAAAGGAAGACAGTATTATTAGACTGAAACCAGCAAAAGGAAATTGTGTAAATAATCGTGTGGAAAACGATGTCTTATAATACAATTTAAAATTAAACGCAATGCTTCAATTCGCAATGTTCATTTTTTGTTAAGCAATAATTAAATAAAAATATGTTCACAGAACGTATAAATTTTGTTTCTTTTATAAGGTTTTAGTGGCTACGTAAACGAAGACTTAAAAGTTTTAGAGAAAATATTGGATCATATTTCAACCATCACGCTACTCATGGCTTTAGTCCGATGGGCCGTTCTTCCGTTCTGTCTTTAAATATGTTTTGACCGACTTAGGTCAATGACTTTGTCGAAATTGCAAAAGTGGATTTATTTTAGACGCAAATACATTGTGAGTTGTCACATAGCTCGAAAGAGGGCGCTGTACCTGAAATTTTAATCTCGTTATAATGATTGCCAACAAGCTTATCGTATCCAATTGTTTGTTATAGTATAAAATAGTGTTACATCCAAATTTCTGGTGCATTATTTACAACCTTACTCTCGAGACCCTTTAGAAAATGTGAATACAACTTTTTACTGACTTTATTTAACTTTGAGTTGAGTGGTAGTATTTATACATACAATTCATTTATATTAAATAGTTTTTTTATTAATAGATGTAATAATGACAATTTTAAATATTATTATGGTTTTGATTGCGAAACATATGCGGTCAATTAATGATATGAATAATAAGATATTAGTCATATCAATAATTATACATTATTTAATTTAAATTTATTAAACAATATTTAAATAAAATTAAACTATTTTAACATATAACAAAATTTCTAATGGCATTTCATTAAAAATAATTGATTTCTCATATTATTCTTTATTAATTTAGTTAAAGCGCTATGTAATTATATATCGAGTCTTTTTTATACACAAGTTTGACACCAAAGAATCTAAAGAATTAATTTAAATTGTAACGCATAGAATTTATAAAACTATAATTAAGAAACAAAAATGACAGATAGCTTAAAGATAATGGTTCAATCTAAGGTGTAAACCTTTAAATCGATTTTAACAGTTGCTTTATCTCTGATACTCTAGCTGCACTTGTTGAAAACCCAGTTCTCCTTCACTCAATTTGTCCGAGTTATTTAGAAATTACTTTTACGAATTGAGTGAGATGATTTAGAAAACACGTTTATTCGGTACTGGGGTCATAAAACATGTACGAGTTCGAACCCCTGTTTTTTATGCAGGCTTCGTTACGGCTTACGCGACTTTCGTGTGGCATAAATTATATTGCAAAGGAACGTTTGCTTTGTAATTCATTTCACGGTTCATTAGCTAACTGACTTAAAAAGATTAACACAAATATGTGTTTAAGTTTATTGTAATTATGTAGAAAATGAAGGCGTGACACATTTGATTTTATTTAGATTTTGAATCTATGTTTGCTAAATATTTTTTTGTACTATGAAACGTAAGAAGAGTCTGTATAAAGGAGCGTGGTATTATAGCAAGTCATCATATAGGTAACAAATTTTCCATCAGCCTACCGCAATAGAAGGCGAGACTGAACATAAGCTTCTACTACGAGTAACTGTGGCACTCGATACTTCACATATCACGTTTAATCCATCCTTGCTACCTTTCTCAGGTCATCTATCATTCTAGTTTCAGGCACAATACTAGACAGTAAGTATATAAATGTTATTCTCTCTCTCAAAACACCACCTCTATGATTTACGTATACAGGGTGGTAGGGACGTCGTAACGAATACTGATATACTCATCGTTTATTCAGACCATCATTGTGAGTCAAAAATCATTGGAGTTTTCTGCCGAAAAATTAAACTTTTTATGCATTCAGCTGTCATATGTTGAGGTCATTAGGTAATAACTACATGTGTATTCACGAGGGGAAGCCCCGCGCACTTCGGCTGTTTGATTAATTACATTGCAGTTTTTAACCGCATGCGGTATTGATTAAATTGGTTTCGGTAAAATGTTCTGCGTACTCGTTGTGATATTATTTGTAAACAAAAAATGAAAAAAAATTTTTTTTTTATGTATATGCATATATAGGCATTATTCCAATGATTTCCGACTCAGAATCATGGTCTGAATACACTATTTCAGTATTCGTTACGACGTCCCTTACACCCTGTATATACTTAAGGTATTTACCATATGAATGTTATTCAACCGAAGATATCAAATATATTGGATCGAGTCGATGAAACGTTAACGTGGCCTATAAAAATGTGTGTCGTCTACAGCTATTCACATCATCAAACCATAGTCTACCAAGTTGATCTACATAAGTAAGTATAACTACGTCACCAAGTCGTAATCCTAACAAATTATTACTTCGTAAATCTCGATAAAGGGAACATTCGCTGAAGCTTTTATGAACTTGAAATAAGAAAGGAAACTAAGTCATCCATTTCGGGAGAAAGCGTTTACCCCGCCAATGTCTGTAACTCGTAATTGAATTCAACAAAGAAGATAGAAAAAAAGTAAACTTTGTACGTGATACGAAAACGGGATTGGAGACTATCAACACTTGTTTTGTAAGTCAATGAGAAAGAACCAATACTGTTGTATTCCTACGATATCGGTCTTTAAGAATAAATCTCAGTTAGCAATAACAAATAACTGTTAATGTTTATTTATGAACATAGTTAAGGTCGCACGAGCTCGTTACTTAGATCTATTTACGTCCTATCGATACATAAACTAGAAATGTAATTGCTCGATATGTTGTCCCTTCAGTGTATATGTGGGTACGTATGGACGATATTTTGTTTCAGTATTGGGCTTCATAAGGGCATAGGAGTATACACAAAGACTTTACATGTTTGAGTATTTTCTATAGGTATAGAATAAAAAGCTAGACCAGCACGTCTCTGGCCAAATAATTCTATAAGCAACCATGTTTGCATATAAATAAATAGACCATCTTGCAAACTAACTTGAATTTGTATCTTCAAAAATACTCTCTCATACGTAGCAAATCGTCACAGTCAAAAAATAAAAAATAAAGGAATATTCGCCATAATTGCAAAAAACTATATTAAAAGTTGAAATGAAATAATAACACTATTTAATTAATACAATTAAAAAAAAAACAAACGAATATAAATTTAAGATACAAATAACATTCAAAAAGTAAATTTAAATAAATATTTGGGTTAACATTCAGCCCAATTTTAAGAGGTACAGAAAAAATATGAACTGTCGTACCTTATTAAAATAAATCTACAAAGATTTATGGAAAGAATCCCTATAAAAATGTATAAACAGGAAGCGTTGGTAAGGGGATTGCGGAATTTTTGTTTAGCGAGAGGACCCCAGCACCCAAATAAATCATTCATTGGTACGTTAAATCAATATTTGGACCAGTGAAAGCCTCTGCGATATCCATTTGTGGTATAAAAAGTAAAAAAAGTATAAAAAGTAAATTTGTCAATATTTACGTGAAACTGATGAAACTGCTAGCAAATCATGAAATAAGAAATAAAAAAAAATGTATTGGACCATTTAGATCCTGAAAAAAAAAGTTCTAAAGTACCTTGCCGGTACAGCTTGCTCACCATTAAAATATACCGGTGTAATAATTCTATTGTGATTAACGCTACTAAAATAGGTTATGGTCTAATAATGGACTACATTCACATTCAAATATTATTCAGTATTGTTGTTTACTAACGCTATTTTCTATATGCCACATATAAAAGAATACATACAATTTCTAAAAAGGAAAAATAATGAACGCCAATTAAAAAAGTTCCGGTGACTTTTTATTGCTGCTAAATTTTTTGTAGGCGCTGCTTACTGCAATGCGGACACGGCATTAAATTATGAATTCTGTTACAAAGTGATTCATGTGATCATTCTGGTCTTCATAGCTGCAGTATGCTGTGCCTAGACGCTGATGAGGCGGTATTGGTAATGCAAGGTTGCTGGCCGGCCGAGATCTGACCACCGCTCAATGCTATGGGAGTGTACACGAGGCTGCTTCCTATCACTTCGGGGTCACCACTGTAGGAGAACGGGGGTCATATTCCTCGAACACAAAGGAAGGAGCCTCCGACCAAGCGAGGTAATCATGCCTGGCGGTCCGCGGCCCAACGATTGATTTTGGGAAGTTGCGCGATACAAGATTAGCAGTTACTCCGTAGTTTGGTGTGTCTTCGTTAGGTGGCGCTGTGGTAGGTTTTTTGTTTATGTGTCGCCACAACCTATTCGGTACAATTTTAGATGTGCTTTAAAATGATAAATTTGAATTTGTTATTCGAACTACCTACAAACACATACAAAGTTTTATTCATGCTAATAAAAGCGAGTTGATATAAAAAATGAACTCCATTTAAAATCAGACTACAATTTCACTCACTCTCCTAATACAATTTAACTTTTGCAGTGGTAAAATACGGATTACATAAAAACGATGCAAGCTGCATTCAAGGCTTCTATGTGTCCGAAGTTCTATGAATAATTCTCTTATGTTGAGATATTTATACAAAATATTTATACTACCTTTGCTCCTAGCTATCATTAACATTTTAAAAATGAAGACAGAACGTGCCTACATAGCTTGTACTAAGTTGGACTCTATCTCAACTAGAAAATTCGTTGACGGTTCTGTTCAAGATTCCGGGAAAATACCAAATTATAAACAGGTAATAAAAAAATTAAAAGAGTTTTAAATTAAATATATAACATATCTATACAGGGTTACAGGGTAAGTCGACAAATTTCGAAATTTTGGCAACTTTTATAAAAAATCTTAAAGTATCTAAATAAAAGTTGCCGAACTTTGCGTAACTCAAATTTTTTTTGGACCTTATATCCTTTATATTTTACTGTTTTTGTGTAGTTGATAAATTGTTTTATAATTTCAATTACTCATATTGTAGTTAACTTAACAAACTGAACCGAAGTACTGATTAATAATAGCAAAAAACAAAAAAAAAACATCAGTATCAGAAGCACAAATCAAAGTCCACTTAGCAATGGTTAGTCATGAATATAAAACGAAACAGTTCAAAAATACAAGCCATGTTTTGAACTAGGTACTATCGGG